AGTAAAATAATGCTAAAGCAAAAACCTAGAAACTCCACAATGACGGAAGTATATCAAAGGGGTATAGAAGCAACCAAAGGAGCCCCCTATAATATATGCTGGCAGGATTTGAGTGATAAAATTAATCAAGTAGTACTGTATTATAACTCCAAGTATAAAATAAATATCCATGAGTCTATACTGATATAAATAAATGATTAAGCAAATTAATAAAGGGAGAGAAGAGACAAACTCTTGTGCAGTAGAATTCCAAGGAATTTATATAGATTCTCCACCCTCAAGGAAGAAAGCAAAATGGCCCACTCCCTGAGTGTGGGCTGCATAGAGTGACTTCCTTCCAAAGAGTTCAGTATGGAAAGGGATTAAAAAAGTAACTTTCCAGTGGAGAAACTTGATAAATACTGCCTCAGTTGACCTTGACCTGATCAAGGTCAACATCAGTAGTCACAAATCACGTTGGCAGAATGAACCCTTGATATGAAGTTATAAAAATCCCATACAAATGCAAGATATCAATAATAGGGGGAAAAAGGTGTGGGTTATGTGGGAATTCTCTGTACCATCTTCTCAATTTTTCCCTAATCTAAAGCTGTTCTAAAAATATAAAATATATTTTTTAAAAAGACTCAAGAATGGAAATGTTAGATAAGCAATTTCAAGCTATTCATGATGCTGTGATATAAAACCCATCTGTCTGCCTAAACCAGTAAGAAGATCTAGTGCACTCACTCATCCTGGGGTGGTAGCATGATGGGAAATAAAACAACAGGGCAGCAAGGCCTACCTCACATCTATCCTTCTCCTAAGACCCTAGGAAACGGAGACATATGCTCTAGAAACGGACTCCAATCCAGGAAGGGTGGTCACTACCAACAGGAAAACTTGTGGCTGTGGCACAGCTGCATGGCGGGAAACAGCAGCTTCATGGCAGGCAGCTCAGGAGGAGGTCTGAGACCAAGCCTTCTTTCTCACCTCATTAGAGGATGGTGTATCAGTTGAGATCTAGTCAGGAAAACTATTTTAAGTATTTCGAACAGAAGAAATTTAGCATAGGGGTTTGGTTCCAAAGATGTTGGCAGGGTTAAGAAGCACCGAAGGGAGAAGAGAGATTCTGAAGAAGCCGAAATGAAAGAAGTGATGCCCAGAGATCAAAAGCTGTCAGCTCCAGATCAGCTGAGAAGAGTGGCCTTGATTACAGGGGTAAACTTCTGAAAAGATGATGCCTCCTTGGGGCTGCTGAGTCCAGAATCACCCCACCCTCGCTGCAGCAAGTGCCAGCAGCCACTAGCAATGGCCTTGCTAGAAGAGCTGACAAAGAAGCATCTCTCCTCTGCCCACTTATGTTCCTCCAGGGCCCTCTCGTAGCAGAGCCTAATGGGAAGCCTGTAAGATACAGTGTGCACACCAAAGTTCCAGCAGTATTCAGGACAGAGTCCAAAGGTGCAGAATAGAGTCTAAAGATGCAGTCTTAGAGGCTGAGACTGCTAGTGAGTAGCCAGGAAAGAAAGTAACCCTTGATGAGGGTGCGACTGATGCCTAGTTTGTTCCAACCCTCAAGGCCTTCCTTTCCTATGTTATTTATACCTTTGCTTCTCTTTTTTCTTTTTTTGCAATTAACTGTCACTCTATCACCAAGGTTGGAGTACAGTGGCACGATCTCAGCTCATTGCAACCTCTGCCTTCTGGGTTCAAACAATTCTTCTGCCTTAGCCTCCCAAGTAGCTGGGATTACAGGTGCCCACCACATGCCCTGCTAATTTCTGTATTTTTAGTAGAGACGGGGTTTCACCATGTTGGCCAGGATGGTCTCAAACTTTTGACCCCAAGTGATCCACTCGCTTTGGCCTCCCAAAGTCCTGGAATTACAGGCAGAAATCACTGCTTCTGGCCAATATACCTTTGCTTCTTGTCCTCTGCTCCTCCTGCCCGAGATCCCCATGATTTCCTATGGAAACCTTTCCCTCCCCAGAATCCTTGCCTTTGCTATTTCCTGAGGGATGCCCCTGTCCAAGATGTGTGAGTGCAAATCCTATACTACATCCTTTCAAATTCAGCTCATGTATCTCCTGCTCTGCAAAGCTTTCTCTCTCTCACTGTTCTCATCTACAAGCAGACGTATGCTAGTTTTTTGTTGGTGATGTTTTTTTAAAGAATCCCTGGTTTTTAGCAACTGCATATTTTCATGGTGCAAATAATCCCAGAGGAAGAGCTGCAGACTGTCAGCTCTTGTGAGCCTGTCAGCAGTCCCTGCATGGCAAACCACAGTTCATGACCTGGAAGCGTATATTCCTCTTGTGAAATTCCTCGACCTCATCCCAGAGTAAGCACTCAGGACATTTTGCTCTGAGTGATCACCATTTCTGTGCACGTCTGCACTCAACTCCAGAAAAGCATCCTCACGTAGAGAAAAATCACGGCTTAGAATTCCAGCCCTACACTCCCAGCTCTGTGACTGGTAACCCTGTTACTTACCAAGACAAGAAACTGGTAACCCTGCCACCTACCAAGTGTTGGGATACTAATCAAATGTTCAGAGCCTTAGTTTCCTCATCTCTTAAAGACAGCAGCAACGTAAATCAATACAGCCATTAAGGAAGACAGTATAGAGGTTCCTCAAAAAAATTAAAACTAGAACAACCTTAGGATCCAGCAATACCACTTCTGGGTGTGTACCCAAAAGAACTAAAAGTCGGGTCTTAAAGAGGTATTTTTACACCTGTGTTCACAGCAGCATTATTCACAATACCCAAAAGGTAGAAGCAACCCAGGTGCCTATCCATGGATGAACAGAAAAAGAAAATGTGGTAAACGTATACAACGGAACATTATTTAGTCTTCAAAAAAGAAGAAAATCCTGTCATATGAGACAGTATGAATGAGCCTGGAGGACATTATATTAAGTGAAATAAGCTAGGCACTGAAAGACAAATACTGTATGATCTCACTTATATGTAGAATCTAAAAAAGTCAAACTCATAGAGCAGAGAGCAGACTGGTGCTTAGTAGAGAGAAGCTAGGGCAAGAAGGGGTTTGAGGAAATGTTGGTTAAAAGATACAAAATTCCAGTTAGATAGAAGGAATTAAAGAGATACACTGTGCAACATAGTGACTATAGTTAATAACTACGTACTGTAAAGTTGAAAACTGCAGAGATTTTAAATGTTCTTACAAAAAATAAGCATGTGAGTAAATGGATATGTTAATTACTAGTTTTTGATATTCTATCATCTATAATGTATACGTATGATAAATTATAAATATATGCCTTTTTAAATTTAAAATTAATTTTAAAAAGTTGTTTGTATTTTAAAGAGCAGCCAATGCCAACCCTGCCCCATAGGGCTGTTACAAGAATTAAATGAGTGTACTTGTCAGTTTTCACACTGCTATAAAGAACTGATAAAAGACTGGGTAATTTATAAAGGAAAGAAATGTAACAGACTCACAGTTCAGCATGGCTGGGGAGTCCTCAAGAAACTTACAATCATGGCAGAAGGTGAAGGGGAAGCAAGTACCTTCTTCATATGGCGGCAGGGGAGAGGAGAGAAAGGTTGCGAAGGGGGAGCTTCCAAACACTTTTAAAATCGGCCAGGCGTGGTGGCTCATGTCTGTAATCCCGGAACTTTGGGGAAGTCGAGGTGGGTGGATCACCTGAGGTCAGAATTTTGACACCAGCCAGACCAACATTTTGTATTCTCTACTAAAAATACAAAAATTAGCTAGGCATGGTAGCCAGCACCTGTAATCCAGCTACTAGGGAGGCTGAGGCAGGAGAGTCACTCGAACCCAGGAGGTGGAGGTTGTAGTGAGCTGAGACTATGCCATTGCACTCCAGCCTGAGCAACAGAGCAAAACTGTCTCAAAAACAAAAACAAAACCAAAAACCATTGGTTCTTGTTAGAACGCCCTTACTAACACGAGAACAGCACGGGGAAAACCGCCCCCATGATCCAGTCACCTCTCACCAGGTCCCTCCCCTTGACATGTGGGGATTACAAATGGAGATGAGATTTGGGTGGGGATATAGAACCAAACCATAACAATGAGATAGCAATGAAAGTGCATTGCGTAACAGTCCCTGGCACACTGTAGAAGTTTAATAAATGTTAATTTTCTCTTCCTCTTAGGCTTTGAACACTCTAGGAGAGAAGGCATATTATTATTCATTTTCTAATTACCCTAAGTGTCAAAAACACTATCTTGTAACTTGTAATTGTTCAAAAATATGTAACTGCTCAAAAGTATTGTTGTTAATCTATTCACTAGAAATATGAGGGGCTTGACAGCAAGGGAGGGGGCAGGGAAGGATGATCCCAGAACCTGCTGGGGAAGTGGGGATGGGCTGGGAAGAGACAAGGGAGGCAAGGAGTACAGAGAAATGGTGCTGCCTACGCCCAGGGTCCCCAGAAGAGCTTGGAGGGCTCCTCTGGCATTTCCACCGTGAGGCCTTCTTACCTCCACTGGGTGCACACTTACGACTGCTTACTCTTTAATTCTGACTGTGGCTCAGCTGGACACCAGGGTCCTGGGACACCAACGGCCTTCTGGGTGGCAATAATGACATCAGCAGCTATTTCAACTGCAGCTGCTAATGGTATTTCCATTTACTTAATCCCATGGGGCAGAAGTTGGCAAGAGTATCCAGCCTCAGGGAAAAAAAATGCTCAACTAGGAAAGTTGGGCTTAAGGAGTTTACTACAGAAACGGCAAATACCCCACAATTTCTGACCTTTTGCATCTAATAGGTTATCAGCTAAACCCCACCTAAAACCTAAAATGCTTGAAATCTGCCAAGAAGCTTCAATTTCATTTTGCCCATAGTTCAAGTGTTAATGAACTCTTTTTTCTTTCATTTCTGCTCCTCATCTTTAATCTAAAAACCACAGAGTCATAGAATGGGAAAAGCCTAAAGCCCCACTGGCTCTAGTTACTTCCTTTTTCAAAAAACCATAGATCTAAGGCAAACCCAAAAAGTCAGCTATGAGGAAACGCAGACTTACAAAATCGATTTGTTCCAAATCGGTGTGCTCTGGGGGCCTGGCCCCTCTGGGAACCCAGGGCTCAGGCTCCCATGCCAGGTGTTTGTCACTTGGCAGCCTCCTTGGACACGTCAGAGTCTGGGAGCTGGGCTTCTCGAAAGAAGTCCACTCCATCTATGGGCAGTATGGATAGCAGAAGTGCTCCGCCCTTAGCAAACCGCTCAGCCTGTTTCCTCCTAGTCCGGGATTCTCAGTAGGTTTAGGTGAGAGGTAGGATGGAGGGAGGTTTTATCAGAATCACAGCATCTGCACTATATAGTTTGAAAGAGTTAACATAACGCTGCTGCTTTAGTACCAGCTGCTATATTTCTTTTTCTTGAAGGTTTCTAACAAATCTAAAGGAGGGTGTTCTATTGAGTGCAAAATGGCCTGAGGTTCCAAGAGGTAGGAGAGCTGCTGCTGCTGACTTCAATTTCTCCCTACAGCTGAAGATGAGCTCTTGAAGCCTGCAGCTCCCAAATCCGGGATCTCTCTTGACGTGGCATCACACGCATCTGTGTGTACCTGTCTTTTTTCCTCCATGACCAGCTCTCTGCAGATCCAACGACGAGCTTCTGATTATCTGTGAATCTTTCGATACACCTGCTTACTTGTAGTCATTCAATAAATGCTTTTTAAAGAAATAAACACAGGCACCTCCTATGCAATCAGTACAGCACCCACAGAACAGATGCACTCAAAAAGACTGAATGAAACACACACGATGAGATGTTCAGGGTTTTCCTCTAAGGAGAGCCAGCGCGATTTCATCTTTTCTTTTCCTAGTCTATCCTAAATTAATATACTTAGCACTGCTTTTTAAAGTAATAAAAGACCCTTTATTTTGAAAAAAAAGGCACCCCAGTTGATCACAGCAGAGGAAAAAAAAATGCAGCCAGTTTTTACTTCGGCAAGGTTTAGGGGATTTCTCATTTTCGCTGCCGATATTCTAACTAAAAAAAGCCAACCAAATAGCCCAGAGAACGAGGCAACTTTCTGAGGCGGGCATTCAACAACTTCAAAGTCTCGACCAACCAAGTTTAGCAAAGAAGTTTCGTTTCATGGCAACACCGGAATGCCCACCGCGTGCCCCTCGCCAGGCGGGGCTCGGAAACCGGCCACTGCGGTCGCACCCTAGGGTCGGGGACGCACCTCAGCGAAACATTCCCAGCAGCAACTCCGGAACCGCGCCGGCGCGCCCTCGGTCGGGGAAAACATACCGGAACGCGCATGCGCCACGCCGCGCCCGCCCACCAGGCCTCCAGGCCACATTCTTCGAAAACCAAGACGTGAAAGGCTGCAACTGCGCCTGCGGGAAAAGAGGCCGGCTGGGCGGGGGCGGAGCCGGAGGAGGGGGTGGAGGTGCGCGTGCGCGGTGATCCCAGGAAGCCCGGCGCGCGGAGGCGGGGTCGCGCGGCGGCAGGGGGCGGGGCTCTCCGGGCTGCCGCCGCCGCCGCGGCGCATTGTGCAGCAGGCGGGCCCCCGCGCGGCAGGGCCCTGGACCGGCGCGGCTCCCTGGGATGGTGAGCAAGGCGCTACTGCGCCTCGTGTCTGCCGTCAACCGCAGGAGGATGAAGCTGCTGCTGGGCATCGCCTTGCTCGCCTACGTCGCCTGTGAGTGCGCGCCCGCCGCCGGCTGGGGAGCCCCATTCATTCCCTGGCGCCTCGGTGGGCCGGGTGGCGGCGGTGCGGGGCCCTGGGGCGGCCCTGCAGCCCGCGTTGCTCCCTGCCCCGGTTGGACCGGCGCTTTCTGCTCCCACCCCTTTCCACTCTTGCAGCAAATCGGTGGGCCAACTTGGTCGCACACCCCCGACCGCTTAGGCCTGGGCTCGGACCTTTGGCTCAGGGGCCCCTAGCCGTCCTCCGGCGGCCCCCGGTCCCTGCCTCCTGCTCGGGCGCGAGGGACTCGGTGTCGTCCACGTTGCGCTGGGAGCCGGCGAGGGTCCCTGTCGCCGACACCGGAGCGTGCCGCTCGGGGACACCCTTGGGGGCACCCGCGGTCGCGCCGCGGTGTTGGTTAAGTCGGATAAAAATACTGTGGCGGTTGGCAGAGCCCCCGCCCCGACTGTTTGCTCCTCGGGAAAATTTCTCAGCGTTTAACTCTTGGGGAGCCAAGGGTGGGCGCCCCCCCGGCCCGCGGCTGTGCCCAGGTGTTGGGGCGCAGGGGTACCCTCATTCCAGGTGTCTTCCCCGGAGCTGGGCGGCCGGGCCCAGCAGGCAGGCAGCTCGGTGGCCGGACGGGGCGTGCCCGCGGCTTCGCTGTGTGCGGGTCTCGTTTCTGTCATCACTCACAGCGTGCTGCCTGGAGACAGGGCAGGAGGGTCACTTCGCAGGCAGGTGGTGGACCCTCTGCATATTAGGGAAGTCAGAAACCGTCGTTTTTAAGATCTGTTCGTTGGGAATATGTTTTAATTGCTGCTATTAATACATTACCAAGTACCAAAATTGGACAGAAATAGCTCCCAATGTGAGCTGCGTTTGAGTGCTAACCACCCAGACACACACACTGAAATCCACCTGTAACCTGTTGAGTTACCAGGATCTGATTCCCAAGGTAAGTGGGGACTTCACTTGGCTGCAGTGACTTCAGTTGAACTCTAGGAAAGCAAGTAAGAGTAGATCCAGCCTGTCTGCTACAGCCCAGCTGTTCAGGAGGTGGAGCTAGAAAGCTCCAGCAGGACTCCCGGTTGCTATTGGAGGTTTCAGGCCCCGATGGGTGTTAAATGTGAGTACTTTTGCAAGGGAGGAAGAACTAGTCTGAAGTGTGTGTGGTCGATCTTGAGTAAGAAAACTGAGACCCAAGAGGAAAGAGCATTTAAAGTTGAATAACTATTATTATGGCAATAATACTACCTACATTTGTTGAGTGCTTAACTATGTATGCGCAGTCATGATTCTTAGTGCCATTGTCTCAATCATTCAGCAACTCTGGGATATGGATGCTATAATGATGACTATTTTAGAAGTGAGGAAGTTAAGGCCTCAAGAGAGATTAGGAAGTTTATGGATGATCACACAGATAGTAAGAGATGGAGGGCCAAAATTTGAACCCTGAAAGACCTGGGAGCAGGAGCTAGGATGGGTGCTGACCCAGGTCTTTGGTCAGCAGTTTCAGTGTTTATTTTGGGGCATTCTAAAGTTAGACATAAGGGTTTACAATGAATAAAGTAGGGAATTTATGGAGCCATGCAGTTTTTTTTAAGCATTCATTCATTTGACAAGGAAATCTTACCGAGTCCTTACTGTCGCCGCTGAACATGGCACCCGGGTACACCATGGGGTACAAAAACACCTGTTCTGTGCTGTGATAATACAGACCATGGACCACATAGTCTAGCACATTGGCTCTCATACTTAAGCATGCATCGGAATGACTTAAGGGGTGGTTTAAAAGCACAGACTGCTTGTCTCCCACCTCAACTTTCTGATTCAGTCGGTCTGGAATGTGGCCTGAGAATCTGCATTGCTAATAGGTTCTTCTGTATGCTGTTGCTGTAGCCTGACCCCACTTCGAGAACCACTGGCCAAGATGGTGAGGTGGGCATGAATTGGGTAATCACCCAAATAAAGGTTAAATTACAAACTGGTCTGAGGGAAAGGAATGCTTGGGAACTGTGGCAGGAGCAATCAGGGACGTTTGTTTCCTTGAGGAATCAAAAAGTGAGCTGAGATTTGAAGGCTTATGTAGGAGTTAACAGGGAAGTCACAGGAGGCAGTATGTTCTAGGAGGAGCAGTGAATGCAGAGGTCCTGCGGCAGCCAAGAGCAGGGAGTATTCTAGGAAGGCAAAGAAGGATGGTGTCCTTGGAGTGTGAAAATAAAAGTACAACCATGAGGCTGCCCAGATAGATGGGCCAGAGCAGGGAGGCAGACCTGGGGTGCGGCCCATGACGTGGATGATTTTAGCTATGAGGGGTTTAAGACAGCGTGGAGGCAGTGTGAACAAGGAGCAGATAGTGGCTCAAGTCTGAGCCACTCTGCAGGGAAAAATGTTACCGGGCTTGTGGCTGATACTTGTGATTGATAACATACAAGGATGCTGAAAATGTAGTCCCTCAACAGTGATGCATGTGTTTTCTAATCTCTGCGTTTCCTGATTCATAATCTTGCCCTCCCTGTTACAAGTAAAATCTCACCACTGTTTGAAAAAACTGTCCATACTTCCCAATTATACACACCTCAGTGTTAGCCAGTTTCAGTTGCAGAAATGCCCTCCCTGTTCCAGGAACAGAACTCAAGTTCTGTTAGCGTTTCTCCTTCTACCCCTTTCATCTTTCCCAGTCTTTGTTACCTACTCTGGCCCTGAGTCTTTTTCTTACTACCACGTAACTCTTCTCCATGTCTTGGGGTTGACCATCTGCCAGCTTGCATTGTGCTTGAGTTCTTTTCCATGCATCGTACTTGAGTTTGTTTCCATTCATAGGTTGGGTTTTTTCCCTCAATGAAATCCTGATTCTGAGGACAGGGATTGTGTTATGTGTTTCAGCTCCTGTAGCACTTATAGCAGTGCTAATGGCTCATTGAAAGAACTGTGACTACCCTTTGTACTGAATCAAAAATCAGGCCAACCTACTAGGTAGCTCCTGGGCTGACTTAGCTTGAATTACCTTTAACGTATTATTATATTTTAACATGCATATAGTGTTAAAAGTTAAATAGCCTCTGGAGGGCCAAACAGTATCCCCTGCCACCATTTCCCTCTCCCCAGAAGCAGGCACTTCACTTCTTCTAGCTGATTATTTTGGTATTTATTTTTGTGTCTTTGAATCACCGGCCTGGTTTTTCAATTGTAGATCTTACCTAGTGACTTTGTTCTTTGGGAGATGACTTGTTATTCTCTTTGCCCCCATACAGGCTCTCCACCCTCCTATGTAGATGTGGTATAATCTCGCGGAGACCGACATGCATTGTTTACAAGCATGACTGTAAATACTGTTCCTAGTGAGTCGTGTTGTATGTTATGTTTTTTTTTTTCTCCAGTGAATAATTGGCTGCTGTTTCAATTTGCTTGCTTTCTATGTAGTATGACAGATCCAACTCCAGGCTTTTCACCAGTTGTGTCTTCCCCCACCATATTCACGAGCATCAGGATAGCCCTCTGTCAACATCCTTTCCTGAAGAAGGGCCCCAGAGCCTTCTACTGCAACTGGTGTGTGCACCTGGTGACCAGCTGCCAGCCTCACCACCTGCATGCACATCATCCTGGACCTGCCCACTGCAGGGCTCCTGTTTCCTGACTTCCTATTCCTGACTCCCTCCTGTTTCACTCCCTGGTTTGGATGTGATAGGAGGTGAATTTTGAGACTTTACCCTTAAGTATATTTTCTGCCTTCATGTCTGATAAATTGATAATGTAGAATTATAGAGAAAAACTTCCTTGAGAATTTTTGAAGCATTGATCCAATCCTTTTTGGCTTTCAGTATTGTTGAAGAGTTTCAAGCCAGTCCTTCTCTTTCTGAAGATTGTAGAGTCTTTCTTTTGCTCCTGGTAGTCAGTGTTCACCACACATGTCCAGCCCTCTGACCCCCAGGCTCTTTGTAGGACTGCCCTCCCTTCCTCACTCCCTGAGCTTGATGGCCTGACAACGGTTGTTGTGCCAGTGGCCTGTCTGGGAGCTGAACAGAAGTGCTACATCCACTTCGGGGCCTGCACTTACCTGCTAGTGTAAGTTGCCGCCAGAGTTTCCTTTCCTCTAGTTTGACAGTGATGACGCTCAGCTTGCAGAGCCTCTTTCCACCCATCCCGTGACCCTGTTCAATTGAAATAAACGTAAAGAATAAATCTGTGTTGTTTTAAGCCTCTGAGGGCTTTTGGGCTACTCATCGCTGCAGTTTAACAGTGCCTGCCCTGACTGATACATCCAAAATCCATGGTGTTCCGAGATCCACAGTGCTGGGCGTTGGTGTATTTTATCCAGCATATTGGGCATTTTTGTGCCCTGGCAATCCAGAAACACTTATTCTTCAGTTCTGGGAATTTTCTTGAATTGTTCTTTGGTGATTTTCTCCCCTCACGTTTTTTCTGTTTTATCTCTTTCTTGAACTACTACTATTCTGATAATAGAGTTGCCTGGACCAATCCTCTTATTTCCTGTTTTCTGCCATTTTAAAGTTGTTTTGCTTTTGGGAAACCCCGTATTTTCATATTTATAGTCTTCTGGTGATTTTTTTTACACTTTTTATTTTTGCCATACTTTTTCATTTATAAGAATTCTTTTTCTGTGAACTTTTATTAAAAA